ATTGAAATCTACCAGCCAGGGATAGATTATTTGCTTTCCAGCCATCTAAAGAGACTTGAATTTTTTGGATTAGGGGTTGAAAATCAGCTTTTTTAAGTCTCTTGCTAAAGATGGGAATGCCCAAATATTTGAAAGCAGAATGGACTAAAGGGATGTTTAAAGTTTCTGAAATAGCCTCATCATACTGCACGTTATTAGAAATTAAAAGAGTGCTCTTGGAGGAATTAACATGAAGTCCAGAGATAGCAGCAAAGTCCTCAAGTATGCTATTAAGAGAAAGGGCATTTTGAATAGAGGCCCTGCCAAAGACTAGCAAATCATCGGCGTAAAGGAGGAGGGAAATGGAGACATTACCAGTTTCAATACCATGGAAAGGATGGTTAGAAGAAGCCTCCTCGAAAAAATCCGAAAGGTTATCCATAGCCAGGCAGAAGAGGTAAGGTGACAGAGGACAGCCTTGCCTCAATCCAGAAGTAGAATTGAAGAACCCTTCAAGTGCACCATTGATAGAAATCGAAAAATGGATATCATAAATACAACCTTTGATCCAGGAAACAAAGAGGGGAGGAAAGCCCTTAGCAATCATATCCTTAGCATTAATAAGAAAGTCCCTTGAGATAGTGTCAAATGCTTTGTGAATGTCGTACTTAGCACAAAACATTTTCTGTTTATCCTTAGCATTAAATCCAAGAGAATGTCCGAAGCAAGCAAGACATTATCCGAGATATTCCTATCATGAATAAAACCAGCTTGGCTAGGATGGATGATGTAAGGCATAACCTCTCTCAATCTGTTGGCAAGAATTTTGGCAATAATCTTATAAAAAGTGTTACAAAGAAAGATAGGCCTATAATCTGATATGTTGCTAGCATGAGGCTTCTTAGGAATAAGCACAATGGCCGTAGCCTTGGCTTGCCTAGGAAGAGATCCCGTAGAAAAGAAGGACCAAATAGCTTCACAAAGCTGCCTGCCAATAATATTCCAAGAAGACTTATAAAATTCAAATGTATACCCATCAGGGCCCGGTGCTGAATGATTAAGAGAGGAAAAAATGACATTCTTGATCTCATCCACAGAAATAGGGGCAACCAGTTGATGTACAAGAGAAGTGGGGAGTTTATGAGAGTGGGTGCACTGCTCCATTGTTAGAAGGAGGAGTAGTGGTGTTAAAAAGCTTTTGAAATTGCTGAATAATAGCTTGGGATATGTCTTTGTGATTGTTGAGAATACCATTATCAGTGGAGATGCCTTTAATAAGATTAATGTTATGCCTCACATTGATTTTGGAATAAAGAAATTTTAGATCATCTTCCCCACTGGACATCATTTAGCTTTAGCAACGTTGGATAGTCCAATCTGCCCAATCCGCATTTCTATCAGCAAGTTTGTGGTTGATAAGCTTTAAAGCCAGGTTGAGTTCAGGATCAAGGGGAGATGCCTGAAGTTGAGAAATGATGTTGTTCTGATTGCGTTAAGCTCATTGATTTCACTATTCAGAGTCGTGGAGGAGGCCCAACTCTTAGTTTTAATCTTAATCTTCAAGGATTTGAGCTTATGATAAAAGGAGTGGATAGGGCTGCTGTGAAACTTTGAGAAAAAATGGAGATGAGCTCATCCCAAAATTTCGGTTTGGACACCCAATAGTTTTTGAACTGAAATCTATGTTTCAGATTAAATTTAATGCCCTGCTGCACCACAATAGGCGAGTGGTCTGAAATATAAGGATCATCCACAATATAGAAGGAGTTAGGATATCTACCCATCCAGGCATAATTAACCAACATCCTATCAAGTTTGATATGGATGGGGTTATCGGTTCTCTGATTAAACCAAGTAAAAAAGTGTCCCACCGAAGAAAGCTCATGCGCCCCAATGTCAAAAATGAGATTTTGAAAATCTAAGAGCTTATTGTCCTGGAGTACCGATCCTCCAGCTTTTTAATGGTTAAATCTACAGCAGTTAAAGTCGCCTAGGATGATCCAAGGTAAGGAAATAGAGCTGGTAATTTCAGATAGATCATTCCAGAGAGTTCTCCTATCCTCCATGAAGTTGGAAGCGTAAACCACAAAGATGAAAAATTGTTCTTTGCTATTCGTAGTCACCAAACCATGCACCAGCTGACTAGAAATAAAAATATGTTTAAAACTGACCGTATTAGTATTCCATTTAAGCCAAATCCTGCCCGGTGAAGCACATGCAAAGTTATCATAAAAACCTTCTAAAGGGAAGATGCGGTGATTAGAAAGGAACCAACTATTAGAGAGGTTGGTAGGAGTGATTCTGGTTTCCAGAATGAACAACATGTCAAGGTTGAATTTATTGACTAATTGTTTGCAACACAGGGTTTTGTCTGGACTGTTGAACCCACGAGTATTCCAGGCAGCCATAGAAGGGAGACTGGTCATTGGGATTTTGAGGTTGAGGAGGTAGCCTTTTTGGCTGTTTTGGATCTTGTGGTTTTTGTGTTGACAGAAGTGGCCATATTTTGCTTTTCTTTCCCCATACTGGAACTGCCTGCAGAACCTCCACCCGCTTCAATCGAGTAATCATAAGCAAGGGAAGGGAAGGTATCACGGTTAAGGGTCAGGTTAGAGGTGGGGTCATTTTGGTCAGACAAAATGGCAAATTTGTTAGCAATAGGAATATGAGGTGACTTAGGAGGTGCAGCATCAAAAAATGGAGTTGGATTGAGTTTGGAAATTGGGGATGAAGGAGGAGATTCTGTGGTTGGGTTATTGAGGTTAGGGACAAGGGCTTGTGACGTGGAGGGGGTAGAAGTAGGCAAGGCGGAAGGGGCCACAGGTTGTTCGGTAGGGTTGGCCAAAGGAGGTGCTGGAGGTTTGGGGATATTGAGTCTTGGAGTTGGATTAGGATTACGTGGTTTGCGGCTTGAGCTTCTACCACGAGTTTTTGGGGGTTCGGCCTGAGAAGGTTGGGGATTAGGGTTTTTTGGACATGCATTAGAGGCATGCATAATGGAATTGCAGCAGGAGCACTGGCTTGGCTTCCAATCATAAAGAACAGTAAGGGGGAAGACTTTACCATCAACGGTATAATAAATCTCATTAGGTAGGGAAGAAGTACTGCAAACCTGGACGCACACCCTAGCGAAGGTGAGCCTAGTCTTGGCTGCCGTGAGCGCGTCAACCGCCAGAGGAATACCAACACAGCTTGCGATCTTGGAGATCCCCTCCGGCGTCCAACAGGAAAGGGGAAAGTTTTTAATTTTGATCCAAAGAGATATTGACGGGAACTCTTCACGAACTGGGACAAACTCCGGCGTCCACTTTTGCAAGATGAAAGGCTTGCCAAAGCAGAACCAGGGTCCACCCGTCCAGGCCATATCATAGTCTTCCCTGTTGTTGAACTTGAGAAGGAAAAAGCCATCGTCCAAGGTCAGCAAAGAGAGCGTAACCTTGAGCGACCATGTCTTTTTGATAGTAGAAAGAAGGGCTCCGTAGTATGGTCGGCGGCCGATGGAGTATCCTACCAGAGAGAGAGCCCACTCAGAACTTCCGGCGTTGAACTGTGCAGAAGTGAAGTGAGCAGTGGCGTTTTCGGTAGGATGATGTGAGATCGAAGAGGTGAACTCATTCGATACAAGCGGCTGGGTGGCGATGAGGCTCTTCCAATCTCGAGGTAAACCCGCAGAGGAGGAAGGAACGGAAGGATGTGGGAGGAGCGGTGGGAGAGTGGAGGAGGACATCCCGGCGGAGATCCTCCTCGGAGGAGCGGAAAGGGAGGCGGCCAGGGAACGAAACCCTAGCAGAGCGAAATTCCTTTCCTAAAAAAAAACCCTGTGCGCCAGACTCAATTAAATTGGGGTCATAACTTTTAATGCTCATTTTTAAACATAGGCTTCTAACACCTATTGTTCAAGTATATTATTCAAATGTGGCTATTACGTTCTTTCCTTTTCTTCCTACTATAATTTAAGAGGATTGCTAAAGGTAAAAGAGTTAATCTTCTAATTTAAATAATAATTAAAAAAAAAAAACATGCCTTGAAAGAAGTAATGCTCGTTGAAGGCTTCGATAAATGATCACAATATTGTGGTAAGTGGCGAAGAAGGTGCTTGAAATATGACAGTTCAAGCAATTTAAAAAATTTGATATTACGCAGTGGTAGAGTCATAATGGGGGCCCTGGAGGCATGGACCCCTACTAACCCATTAATATGTAATTGGAAAGCCCATTGAAAAAAAAAACTCAAACAGTAAATAAAGCCCACAAAGGGCAAAGGAAGCATCCTTTAGATTCAAACCCATCCTTTCTAGATTCAGCAAAATGCTTTTAACATGTGGGCCATGGAACTATTCATATTGCCACTTCAACAATTTTTACCTAAATTATGATAAAATTTGAAACTTCTCTTCCTCACATATATATAAATAGAATGAATATTCAAATATTTAAGATAAAATAAAGTAATCATAAATTTGTGCTTGCACTAATAAAAATTTCAAACGCATCCCTTTCAGATTCTGCAAAATGCTGCTACCATCAGGGCCATGAAGTGTATTACTATAAATATTAATATTTCTGAAAGATCTAAATATTACTTCACTATGAACTATTAAATAGAAATACAAAAAAAATCATTAAAAAATAATTAAGATTAATTTGAAAATTATTAATTTGTGCGTGCAATATTAAAATTTATGGCTTCGCCCCAAATAGTATATATCTAATAAGGAACTATCTCTCATAATACAAATATAGATATTTTCATATAAAAATATATATATTTCTTCAAATAAAAATATTTGAGGCATATTTGTCTGAATATCTCAATTATGGAGTATAGGTATGAATGAATAATTTAATTTTCAATATAATGGCTCACATGTCGGGACTGACCTGGTTGACATTGCGTGAACCGGCTTGATGTGCTCCAATGTTCTCGTTCTATGGATCCAACGGCGGTCATGACGCGTGGTCTTAGCGGGTAAGCGGGGATTGGAAATGCAATTTTTTAAGAAAAAACAAAAAGAAAACGGAGTACAACGAGCGAGCGAGACAGAGAGAGAAAGAGAGAGAGACCGCGGAAGAGCATTGTGCGTTTTTTTATTGGCTTAAATATCACTCGCGGTCGGCCGACTAGAATATTTCGCGCACCGATCTACCCCTTGGGATTTCTCCAGCGATCATCGGATCAATCATGACGACTGAGGACCGGAAGTTGGAGCCGGAGGATGACGACGTGGCATACAAAACGAAGGTCGTCCAATTTCTTGGCCGCCCCACCCCAATCGTCCTTCAGAACGACAACGGCCCATGCCCGCTCCTTGCCATCTGTGAGTTTTCATCCCTTTCTTCCTTCAAGTCGCTGAAATGTAGCTGTCAATCCCCGTCTTATCCGCTTTTACTCTTGCTGTCTGTTGGGGAGATTAATTTCTCTGCCATTGGGGGTTTGTTGTTGGAAAGCAGTTTTTATGAACATTTATTTGATTTGGATTTCTTTGTTGTCTTGGTGCTGCTCTTGTCGCGATGTTTGGTTGAACAGGCAATGTTCTGCTGCTTCGGAATAGCATTCATCTGAACCTGGATGCACCGGAAGTGCCGCTGCAGAAGCTGCTTTCTCTTGTGGCGGAGAAACTCATCGATTCAAACTGCAGCGTGCAGGTTTGATCTTATATAGATTGATTGGAGGAGGATAGTTTTTTTTTTTTTTTTTTAGGGATTTGTTGTGACGTTGTTTTGTCTACTGGGAACAGGACAAGGACGATGGATATCTGATCAACCAGCAACAGAACATTGCGGATGCTATTGATCTTCTCCCTAGGCTCGCTACTGGGATTGACGTGAACCTGCAATTCAGAAAGTATTAATTCAGTTTATCATTTCAGTTTTATTTAACTAGTGTTCGTAAGAACTGCCATTAAATTTTTACTGCTTGCTCAATGTTTTTAGGGTTAACGATTTTGAGTTTACGCGTGAATGTGCCATATTTGATCTCCTAGATATTGGAATTTATCATGGTTGGATAGTTGATCCACAGGTATTGCTCTTTATCTGAATGTACGTCGGCTTATAATTTTGAGTCTTCTGTTATGCCAACATATTGTGAATTCCTTTTACATCAGCTCTATGATTTTTGCAATTAGTTTCTAATATCTGATGTAACAATGTCTGTTCTGTTAAATGTTTGTGCACGTGCTTTTCATGTCTCTTCTAAAACTGTTATTTTATTTTTAATACAAAATTTAAGTTTGAGTTTAGTGCTTTGTCTTAGAAACCTATTTGGTGACTTCTCAGTGTCCTCATGTTGCTATAGCAACTGAATTAAGCAAGGTAAATGTTTTCCCAGGTTTCATATTGTTCAGAACCTATGCCTCTACCGTCAGAGAGTCATTCTATTAGATGGTACGTAAACTGTTGTTAGAAAATATATTTAATTGAACAACGTGCTTGTACATCTTGTGGTTTTGAGGGCCAATTTTTAATTGAAAATTGCACTTAAATTTATGTTAGCTCAAGAGTGATAAGCAATGTTGTTCAAAACATTCACATCTTAGGCACGTGGCATTGTACTTGGGCTAAGAGTAGCACTATGCATCAATTTAGTGCCTAGCATGCCAATTACTTACAGAAACATGCATTTGGGCTAACAATAGAAATCTTGTTTGAATGAGGCTTAAAATTTTATTTAATTTGAATTAATTAGTACATTCTTTGTGATTATGAGAGTATATTATAATAATTAGGAAATAAGAAATCATGTGAATTGACGAAAAATAACATTTATAATTTATGCATCATCTTTAGTGTGTTCTAACATTTAGTTTAATAGTTTTGAGTTGAATTGACGAAAAATAACATTTATAATTTATGCATCATCTTTAGTGTGTTCTAACATTTAGTTATGACGGTTTGTCATACTTTGCCTCACTGGACAAGGACAAGTTGTATTATGTTACTTCTGAAGGTTTTATTTTTTGAATTTGAGCCCATAGTTACTTCTTGAAACTAAATTTGGGTATTAAATTTCTAGGATTCTGATACTGCTGCTGCAATTGGTTCTAAATCTTACAATGCGCTTGCTGGAGAGCTGGTTGCATTTGAAGCAGGAAAGTCAGATTTAGAAAATAAGAAACCATGTGATAATGATTCTGTCGATTTTGTCGCTGCAACAACTGCAGCATTAGGAGTGCCATCACCCTCACTTTCAAGAGGCATATCTTTTGATTATTGCCAAGAATCATTGCCAGTTGATCAAAGAAAAGGTAAAGGTGATAGAGAAGAGGAAGAGGAGCTGATGAGGATCTTGAATCTGTCAAGAGCTGAAGTGCCAAGTCCTGCTAGTGATTCTATTTCAGCTGTTCCTCACAGTAAAGACGGAACTAAACCTTTTGCATTTGAGATTTCTACTAAGTCAAGTGTACAAGATAATGTGGATGATTCTGAAAATTTCGATCTGTCAGATAAAACTATTCCCCAGGAATGTGATGCATCTAGTGATTGCAAGGATGATGTATTACACACACTAGTTTCAGTAGATGATGATGCTTTACCTCTCAATGGAAATTGTGGAAGTAGCTCAGAGCAGAGAAATCATGTAGTTTCTACTTATTCTTCCATTGCCAGTGATCTAACAAACAATATAAACCAAGATCCATTAGTTCTGTCGACAGAAGCTAATGGTTCTGATGAATCTGGGGGTAGTGTGTCTTCTTTGATGACATCGACTGAGGATTCATTGACATCTCAGCTTCAAAATACAACTGATGATGATGCAAATCATTGTGTTCCAGCAGATCTCATTGATTCAGCTGCTCAGCATTCAAAATTTCAGCCCCAACTTGAAAGACAAGAACTTTTGGATGTTGCTGAGATTACTTCTAGTCTAGCAATTAGTGAACCTATATATGAAGGAGAAGACCACATTCTTGATTCTAGATTATCGGCTTATGAGGATCAAGAGCCAATCTATGAAGGTGAGATGGTTCTTGCTGAACAGGCTATTGTAGCTGGAGAAGATGCTGGTTCTATAGATTCGAATGATCAAGTTACTGAGCGGCAATGTAAGATTTAACTTTTTTAATGTCACTTAGTTGTTTGTTTACCATGTTGTTCGTTTCCTTCTTTAATATTCTTTAATCAAATCATTATGTTATTTTACATTAGATCAATTGATTAAGAGCTTTCTCGAAAGTACAGCAAGCCAATTGACAATCTATGGGTATAGTTTTATTGCCTTTTATACCAATGAAAATTTTCTATTGGATATAAATGCTGGGAGAATTATTCCTTATATTATTATTTTTTGGCAGCCTTTTTTGCTTACAAGAAGGTTTGAAGGAAAGAGAACTCTGTGTCTTTTTCCGTAACAACCATTTTAGCACTATGTTTAAGGTATGGTGAGCTGCTCTTTTAATGCGGTGATTTTAATTCATTTTACTCTCTAGTAAGTAACAGAGTAGAAGAATCAGATCAGACTTTCAATCTGATTGTGGAACCATTACAATTTCCTATTTTGCAGTTCAATGGAGAACTTTATTTGTTAGTCACAGATCAAGGTTACATGAACCAACCTGACCTAGTGTGGGAGAAGTTGAATGAGGTGAATTATATTTACTACGAATTCCTTCCTTCCATATGCACTACCATTTTCCACATCAATCCTCTCTTTTCTAAATTAAGATTTCCACCTACCAACAAGTCTTTCATTGACTTTTATTTGGAACATTTCAGTTCAATCTAATTGACTGTTTAGCTTTGTTATTGATGTTTGTTTCGTTTGACTGAAATGAAGGTCAATGGAGACACAGTTTTTATGACAGGAAACTTTACACAATTTAATGCTGATAATCAAGTCAATGACTCATGGAATGAGCAGAATGCCATCAATAGCACCGCTGTATGTGTCCTTTTGATACTTTCCACTTCATCTAGTCTATTATCAGATTACTTTAATTAACATGATTGTTTGCCACAGGATTATCTAGCTACACTTGAAGGATCGGTGCCATCAAATACATCATTCAAGTATGCTTTCAGAGTTAACTTGGACTTGACATTTTTGTAAATTTGTTATCTATATTGATTTTTTTGAAATAGTGGTGTATTGCCGTTTGAAGTACACTAAAATTTTCAAATTCTGTTTCACTAAAACTTCTGAGCATATCATCTACCTGAGCCTTGAATTCTTTTCATCCTTCTTGAAAAAATTGTAATAATGATCAACTCTAACAACAGTTCATAAAATTTTCATTTTAATTTCATGATCTAATCATTACTGGCTTGTTTTAAGTTGTTCTGACAACTTGTCCTATGCTGGAATGCACTATGGTTATGATCAATATAAATTACCATTTATCATTTCTTTTTGAAGGCGATTATTTGCACATGGTTATTTTGACTCCATGTCTGCCACATCTAGCTTCTCTTTGGATTTGTGAATTGAGGCATGCTGACTGTTCACCGTAGCCATCTCTTTTTTCCCTCCTTCCATTTTTATGCAAGCTTGTAACAGAGTAATATTTTGATGTCTTTGTTTTTTACTATTGTCTGTTCCTTCCTGCTTCTCCATTTGTCCTCCATTACCACTCCTTCACATCAAATTAATTTTTATGTGAGTTCAAGTTTCCCTTTTGGTTTTTTCTATTGCATATCATTCATGTTTAGAGTAGCCCTGTGGTATGGTTTTAAGTGTTCTACTATAATATAGGACATCTCTGTTTGTAGGTACATCAGTCTTATGCAATTCTGTACTGGTTTTTTTAAAGTTTTTTAATCGTGAATATTTTCCTGGTCTGGCATATTGCCTACTGTAGAACTGTTTGGAAACCTAATTTACTAAAACTTCATCTTCATTAACTAACTCTTTTGTGGTGTACAAGTATAGATCACTTATCTCAATAAACATTCAAATTGATTGTATGCTGGATACATTCAAATAATATCTGATTACCCAAATAATAGATCACTGTATTCCTTTTATGGAGAAAATGATCTTGGGAACAGTTTTATAAATTACTCTACTGAAGATTAAGCACTAAGCAATATAAAATTCGAAACAATTTAATGAAGTTACATTAAAATTATCTAAAGAACATAAAATAAGGGCTTAAATCGTTGTGACTGAAGTTATGCTAAGCCAATGTTAGCTAAGCTAGCTGATGGCATTCTTAAGCCTTAAGCGGGGTTAAGCAGTATTATTGGTGAGAAAATAGGAACTTAAGCTGAGATAAGCTTCAGAATATGGTTGGTTGGATTCTGGATTGAGCCCTTGTTATTTACCCACTTAATTCTGATTATGAGATAATGATGATTAAATTTTCTTTGACAAAATTGCACCATCTCTGCATAAATATACCAATTACAACTAAGTTTAATCATGGTTTAAAATTGCGCAATATGAGGCTCGCCTTTGCGCAATTCCAGTAAAAAACGCCTCGATGCTTACGCCTCGAGTTTTTTTATGAAGCTTGCGCCTCAACTTGGTTGAGGCCGGTCTTGAGGCCCGCCTCGCCTCACTGGCATGAGGCTTACGCCTCACGCTATATATATATTAAAACTTACATAAATCTTGAAGTAAATGTCCGACATTGGACTCTATAGGAGAGGAGGAAGGGGAGAGAGAAGTTCATCATAATGATGATCCAAATGAAGAACCCCTTAGTGTGACAGTGCTAATGACTTATGAGTTCTTATGTGATATGTCATTGCTATTTATTTTTGGAAATTTGAATTATATGTTAAAGAAAAGAATACTGGGATTTGGGAAAGATAGAATTTTGAGTTGAACTATATTTCATGTTGTCTTATTATTGGAATATTTTGATCTCACTTCATATCTTATGTTGTTTTATGTTTTATATTATTCACTCATTAGTACATAAAAAATTTATTATTTTATGTTTATGCAATCTTTTGATTTTAAGGCTTACGCCTCGCCTCACGAGTGAAAAACGCCTCAATACCCGAATACGCAATTTTAAACATTGAGTTTAATAAGTAGGCCAAACACATCATTTAAGATAGTTTGTATACCAAATATCTTACAGATATTCTAATATATGAGTTCATGCTCCAACAAACTTGTTTGTCAGAAAACATAGCAATTTATCTTTGAGCATTATATAAAACAAGGTCATGTTTCAACATTGTAAAATGCTCGAGGTGTGAACAAAGGAAGATTGGAGAGACATTTTGTGAGACGTCAATTAATTGTTAGCCTAGTACAATACGTTTTTCATCCCCTAATTGTTGGGTATGAGAATGGAGGAAATTAATTAGTGGATTAGTGTTTCACAATTGCCAAATGCATGAAAATAAGCCTCTATAACCATTGAAGTTGATAGATTATGCAGGTAGATCATGACTATGATTTGCAACAATCTTGCTGCATAGATTAATGATACGATTGAAATAAACAATAAATATTATTATATGTTACACTACAATTTATGTGATTTTTATCCGAGAAGAAATATTATTGAAAATAAAAAGCCCCACAAAAGGGGTGATGCAAAAATGTTCCAAAATATAGAATTATTGAAGATTGTGAGCCCATGGACAACATACCATGGCAAGAGGCACAAGTAGATTGGAACTTGGGAGTAAAGACGAATAGACGACTCAAAATTGAAACCTTAGGCCAAAAAGGTTAGAAGGTTCCACACAATGTGATAACAATGGAGGAGGGTCAATGATAATCAGCAATAGCAGAGAAACACACTAGGAAGAAACAAGGGCTAGAGGGCTAGGGAGTTCGTGAGAAGTAAGACACAAAAAATAAAAGGTAGAGTGAATGATATAAGCCGAGTTCAAATGGGCCTTTTTTTCAATGCACTTAATCCCTAAGCTCCACAATTTTGCCAAAAGATATGTCACTTATGATTTTTTTATCCTATTTAATGGGGTTTTAAGGGAGTAAGGAGGCTTAAGCTTGATGTAAGCCCTAAACCAAGATGCCTTTAATATTCTTTAATTCAATTAATAAATAAAGGGAAAAATAAAGAAAAGAAAATTAAAGACATGTTGACAACGCACATTTGTAAAAATCATATGGTTGTCATTTTTCCAAAGCATGAAGAATCCAAGCATGAATATAAATTTATATTTTTCAACAGCTTTTTTCATCTTCACCAACAAGAAAAAAAATCATTATCTCACCACCCTAGGCATGCTAAACTGAAGAAATTTTATTACAAAGCCAAGTCAACTTAGGTGGCACACCCAATATGAGTCTGGATATTTACCAGAGCAAATTGGATTGCAGGGGAGCCCTCCAAGAGGGTCGTGATGATTGAATATTTCGTAAATTTATTGAACTAGGAGGCACTCATAAATGTACTCAACAAAGTAAGTTTCTAGTATTTTTAGAAGGTTCCATGATCAATTCCAAATTTGGAGGATATTCCTGTGCATGGAATGCAAATTAGCAAGGATGGAAGACCTAAAAGCAAAATTATTATTTTGAAATACAATGGTAAAGGAGGCAGCCTAACATAGGAGTGTTCAAGGTTGAATTCAAGTGGATATTCTAATCTCCACATAAAAAGTGGAAAAAAACCCAACTCTTCTAGAGGTAGCGGGATCAACTAAAGGTGGAAATAAAGAAAAATCAAGTTAATCTTTAGATTTCACTCCATGAAATCTCTCTCTCTCTCTCCCCTATCTACTCATATCAAAAGAAAAAATTCTCAGGAATATTCTATAGCTATTTTCTGAATGGAAATGGGGATCCACTAGTGGAGCCGTCATCCCTCCCCCCCCCCCCCCCCCCACCACCCCCCCCCTCCCCCCTACACACACACCTACTCATATCAAAAGAAGATAAGTCTTCAAAATATTTTTTAGGTATTTCTTTTAAACATTTAAATAGTTCATGATAAGCATTTAAATTAGATCTTATCTTATGAAATAATTTATTTTTTATATTAGATAGGATACTTTGCTTATGTTGGTTTTTTAGTTTGTTTGCAATTTTTACTACGTAAACCTTTGTATTTGTTGTTTTGGAATCATGGAAGTTAAAAATATTTCCTTCAACTCATTTAAATAAGATCTTATCTTATGAAATAATTTATTTTTCATATTAGATAGGATACTTTGCTTATGTTGGTTTTTTAGTTTGTTTGCAATTTTTACTATGTAAACCTTTGTATTTGTTGTTTTGGAATCATGGAAGTTAAAAATATTTCCTTCAACTCATTTAAGTCTCTCCTTTTCATCCATACCCATTTGCTATGTAAACTTACTTTTCCTCCCCGTTTCTATATTTTAGGCTTTGACTTAGCATAGTACAGTTATCTTACTATTTTTTTCATCAGCTGCAGCTTTTAGAGAAGTATTTGAGATTGGTAATTATTAGTTTCTCTTTGTTTTGAGTCAAATAATGAATTTTCTCACTATTGTATATTGAAATTAGAGTGGATCTATAGAAATCATTAAAATGATTAATGGATCGATAAGGCTTCTCTGATTGTCAATTCTCACTCTAAATTTCTAAAAGTCGATTCCTTGTATAACCTGGGTTCTAAGTTTTATCTAGCACCTCACCTAAAGTCTTTTGGGCCATTTACCTTATATTCTCTATTTTGCTTATTGGGCATTCTAAATTCTGGAGTATCATCACTCTAAATAAAAAAACTTTGTGGTGATTGTATCTATCGAAAAGGCTAGACTTATAATATTTCTTTATGGATTTTGAAAACCTCCATCAACTAAAAGTTTACATGGTTTGCTTTGAAAATAACATATCTATGTAAGATATTTGATCTCTTCTAGTCCACTCGTTTTGTAATGATTAATAAAATGCATCTCATGACACCAACACTTTTGTCAATAAGTTCTCCTTGTTCCTCTTTCATAATCATTCTCTTCAATGTTTTCTGTTCATTTATCCCTTAAGATGAGTATAACATGAGAATCTTGTTCAATCAAAATACTACTTGAGTCAAATTAATGTGATAGTTACCCTTTTAATGACATATAGGCAAGCAATATTATTATTCGCAGTGTTTGTAGGAAGGGATCTT